TTCTGCTTTGTTACGGACCCCTGATTAACACTTTCTAAGCATTTCAGCCCACACTCCGGTTATTTTACAGACTGCAACGAATGCAGATTTGAGTTTATGGGTTCATAAAAGTGTAAATTAAGTCAACAGTTTGTCCCCAGCCTATTTGCACAGCCCTTCCTCCAGTGACCTGCCCCTTCAGACAACACAAATATTTCAGCTACCTGAGCATTTTTAACAGGCCAGAAGCAGAGCTGTGCCCCAGCACACAGTGCTGCGGCAGTGTGGGATGTTCTGTGCAGCTTGTGATTCTTCCAGCCTGGACTCCCACATCTCCCATCTCTGGGCTGTGGAGAACACTGTCACCCAGCAATTTGCCCCTTTTCCTGCTTGCTGCATATCACCGGTGTGATCAGTCCTATCTCTGCATGGAGGAGGGGCTGGCTGACCAAATTTCTTTAATTAAAAGAAAAAGGATCAAGTTTATCCCAGATAAGCAGGCAGGATTAAAACAGACAGAAAGAATAGACAAGAGGCAGCTGTCAGCACTCCAGCCGATCCAACATGATTATTAATAACGATAAGCGGGAGAAGAGGGCTAATAAAGGGATAATGAAGTAGTCCTGAAATGACTGGAGATGGAGCCCGATAAGGGCACACAGCCCTGGGCTGCTCAGGCCCAGTGAGGTTGACTGCAGAGCATCCCACTGGGAGGGGGCACCTAGAGGAGAGGCTTCACTCCTCCAAGGGCGTAATGCCAGCAGACTGACAGCTTTCCTTGGGAGTAGTTGTATCCCAAGAGCGAGAGTTGCCTGTAGGTTACACAGAGCATGAAACACAGACAAAGGCCAGTGTGGCCTGTAAGCAACATAGTACACCCACCTGTAAAGGCAGACGCAGGCCCTGGACACGGCTGACAGTCACTAGAGTGAAAACAAGGCTGGAAAAGTTACTTGCTGGGAGCCATCAGACATGTGACATCTACTAACAGCAAAGTCTTTCTCTGTGCTCTCACTGAGGAGGGGATCAACCTACCTACTGAGATGCTCTGCAAATGTGGGAAACAAAGATGGAGAATGGGGAGCGGGTTCCTCACAGCAAGCACAGAACAGGCAGCTGAGGAGAGGGCCTGGTCAGTGAGCACTGTACGAGAAATCAGGGCTGTTTTGGACAAACTGGATTTTTTTCTACTCAGATTGCTCTCTTTTCTATCCAAGCATCTTTTTTCTTCCAGACCTACAGCATTTCTCCCTCCCAGAGACAGGAAGGCTCCGGCCCCGGGCTGTGCAGCAGCGGCTGTGCCCAGCAGGGCTGGTAAGGAGCAAGGCCCAAGTGAGGAGCGGGAGCTGGGCCCCAGGCTGCTGCTACTCTGGGTCAGCACAGCAGCTGCTGGGAGCATATGCCATGAATTAATTCCACTGTCCCTGAGATGCTCTGGTGAGAGGAGCAGCAGCACCTTTCCAGCTGATTAACATAAAGCCCTTCCCCCCCCCCATCATTTTGCCACACTTAACAAAACAGTTAGAGCCCAGAATCACAAAATCATGGAATGGCTGGCTTGAAAAGAACCACAGTGATCATCTAGTTTCAACCCCCCTGCTATGTGCAAGGTCACCAGCCAATAGACCAAGCTGCCCAGAGCCACATCCAGCCTGGTCTTGAATGCCTCCAGGGATGGGGCATCCACAACCTCCTTGGGAGCCTGTTCCAGTGCATCACCACCCTCTGAGTGAAAAAGCCCCTCTAAGTGCTTCCTGGCCAGCAGGCAGGCTCCTCAATGGAGAGTTGACGGGCCTGGCTTTTACTCAGCTTTTATTTTCTACATGCTTTTCCAGAGCTGCAGTCTCTGCCCTGAAAACCCTCTCAAATCTATAAATATTGTATCTATTATTATAAGCAAAACCAGAGACTCCTAAGGAGCTAGAATTCATTTTCATTTGTGTATTTCTTTTATTCTGATGGGACTTCTTTTATTCTGATGTGGCTCACAGTTTGCCCTGAATAGACCACTGAGCCCTAAGCCTGCAAGGGACTCTCTGGGGCAGAGCTGCTCTCCTAGCCTGAGCGCAGCAGAGCCCTCTGCAGACACCCAGAGCAACTCACTCTGCTAACCCTGCTGCTGACAACACACTGATGAGTCTGCAGCTCTCTCTCAGCCATGTAGGGCCAGAGCAGAACAAGGAGCAAGCAAGACACAAGATCTCCACTATCTTCAGACAGAAGGCTGGGAACAAAAACACTCTCTAGGTCTACAAGCACTGTATTTGGATTAGGAACTTGAGGGCACACAATTACACATCACTTTACCCCTCTGTGACGCGAGTCTGTGGACACTGAGGTGCCTCAAAGAATGGCTATACAGCCTTCCTCACCAAGAGTGAGCAAAGGCACTTACATCTGTATCTTTTTAGCAGGAACAGTAACAGGAGCAGATTTCAATGTAACATCCCCAGGGCCTGACAGTGAGAGGGCACAGCTCAGACACTTCCCAGCACCGCAACCAGGCGGGCGGTGGGAAGGGCTCACTGAGGAAGGCCGAGAGCCAGACAGCTCACCTTCCTCCAGCTGCAGAAGGAATGGGAAAGACGTGGAAACAAGTCTCACTCTATTAAGTTTATTTAAGAAAATTAAAGATACAACTTGTTCACGGTGCACATAAATACTGAGCAAGTAGAAATATCTGACAGTGTGATTTAACAGGGAAGGTGAAAGCATAACCAGATGCAAGGAACAGAAGATGAAACAAAAACAGAGCCTAGAAATAAAGCAGATTTTGAACCACAAAGGCAATTATCTGCTGGGATAACTAACCAGAGAAAAGACAGGTGAAGCTCAGCCACATCTCACTGAGCTCTGCCACGGCCTGTACCATAGCAGGTCAGACTACACATCAAAGCACCTCATCTTTCCTTCTCTCCAGCCTCTTCATCAGCACCTGCTCTGTCCTCAGTTCCTCCAAACATTATACATACTGTTCCCAAATCATTCACCTTCTTCATTCCTCTTTCCCCTCCCACAAACCCCACTGTGACTTCAAGTGCCCTCCTCCCCACACCTGCCTAAAATGGCGTCCCCAGGCCCTCCACGCTCCTACCTGTCACCATCTTCAGGAAGATCTCTGAGCATCCAATGTCCCTCCCACTTCTGTTTCAAGGGTCTCCAGGGAGATCAGTGAAGTTCTCAGAGGCAGGCAGTGCTCTGCCCTCCTGGACAGAGGCAGGACTGTTGGCATGGCATGCAGTTGCAGGACAAGCAATGGGCTGAGCACAGCCTCTACCACCCGCATCCTGCAGGCCGCAACCCTAAGTACTGCCTGGCTTTCCTCTCTTAATGCTCCAATTGTCAGTAATGCCACCTCACTAAGTTTCTAAATAAACTTCAACATACGGTATGTCACAAGTCACAGATCAAACCTCAGGCTGGACTGCCAGAGAAGTTGGATTCATAGCTCATCCACTCCTGTGACTCAAGGCTGGGCATCCTCAGCTTTTGCGGTCACTGATAACATGGCTGGCATGCACTGGATACCATGATACCATGCAAGCAGCTTAGAGGAGCCTCAGCTCAAGCAGAATGGAGAGAACTCACACTAAACTAACTACAGACTGTATCTGGCAGAAGAGAGCCTCTGCTTTCTCTGTGATCTTTGGGATGTGCAAAGATCACTGTGCAAATCTAACCCAAAGCCTAACCAATTTCTCCCACTCTTTACCATTCTTTTCCCCACACAGCCTTGTTGGAATTGCCTGATATACCAAGCTACTTTAGTTTGCTGAATTTGTTTTCTCTTTCTTGGATTATAGGAAGAATCCTAAATTCTCTTTGGCCAAGGGCCACAGATGTCACAGAAAAACAGACATTGGTCTAGCTGTGAAGTTTCTGTTCACACCAGAACAGGTTGCTCTGCTCAGAAAAAGACCTCAGGGGTATCCTCCACATGCTAGCCCCAAGGCTTCCGTCTCATCTACTTTTCTAGTTACAGGGGAGATTCCTTGATTTTACAAACATAGCATCTCGTTGAGACAGCTTCTTCTCTCTTGCTGGTAGGTTGTTTTTGGCTATCAACTCTGATCAGCAATTTTGCAGAGTAGTGAGCTCACAGTGAGTTGTTTGTCCTGAACTTCTGTCAGTACAAAAGAAAGAATGCAGTGCTCCATGAAACCTATAGAACAAGCTAAGAAAAGCAGCACAACAAGTCTTTTGCACAGCACCTGCACTGCACCCCAGAAGTATATAGCAAGGTTCTCCAGTGGGACAAGGCTTTGAAGGACACCGGCTTAGAAGTAATACTATTGTTTCCTGCAAATAATGACCACAGCTCTATGGGGATAGGGCATTAACAGCTAAACGGATTTTTTTTAGGTGACAATGAGAACAGGTTACTTGCTTCCAAGGAAACACGCCAGGGAGTTAGCTTGTTTCAGAGCAGCAGGCTTCGTTTTTTCATGTGTAGAATGAGCAGTATTTTCTTTGCAAACTACCTACTGCCTGGAGCTAACTCCATTCAATATGTGATCTCATCTGACTGCAGAAGCTGAGCAGCGTTACGCTTGGTCAGCCCTTGACTGGGATACCTCCAAGGAAAACAAAGAAAAGGTGCTGTAAGAAGCAGTACTGGCAGTTTAGTAGGTGATATTCTTCCCCTGAGTCAATAAAGAGGTAAGATCCCAGGGCAAATGTTAAGCCAGCAAGGGATGACAGAAGCTGGTGGATGAGATGTAAAGCAGACATCCTGACAACTTTTGGCATCTGTTGTGGGAAGATGATAACCTAGATGTCCTAGGCAAACAAATGGTACCAACCTAAGCTTCTCTCATAGCCATCACTGAAAACTACACTCCATTGTCTGACTGTGTAAGCCTCCCAGAGAGGCTACATTTTGGTTGAAGAAAGACTGCCCATTGCAGTTATCTGTAAAGGTGCTGCAGTAAGGTGACAGTGACTGTTCACACTTGCGTTTGTAATTCTTAATCTCTTTTGAGAATGAAATCTTACTATAAAATATCCAAAACTCTTCCTGAGCCAGTTTTCCTACAGAGCAAGCTCCATTTATTTCCATGTCTGAAATATATTCTCAAATACAAACAAGTGAATAGAAAATTAAAGTGCTAAATTATTTACAGGGAATGTGTATACGAGGAGATATCTGGTGTATTAGTGCTCTAGGGTACACTGAGGTGGTCCTCTCTCTCAGACTGTCCCACGTCCCACTCAGTTACTAGTTCTGAGGATACCTCTGTGAAGAGATGGTCCCAATCCCAGCAGACATCATCCTATCAAGAGGAAAAAAACAAACATGCTGAAAATTTAACTGATAACTCCCAAAGGTCTCTGAATGATGACCCTGCCAAAGAGGAAGGCATATATTTTGTAGACTAGGATAGGAAACCTAGAGAGAATGGAATGTGAATCCGTGTTACAATTTAAAGATTTTGGCAGAATTAATCATGTTCCCAAATTCAGTAAAGCCTACACTGTTAATCTTAGGCACCCTCAAGAAGAGCATGAGACAAAAATCTTCCACCCTTCTAATGAAGCACCTGCAATTCTGGGCTGTTTCAAGTTCTGAGCTACTGCTTATACATTTATACTGAGGTTCTTCTGTCTTGCTTTAAAACAGCCCCCTGCCCTAACCCTAAATGCTCTCTTTGTTCCTCTGTAGCACTCTGCAGAACCATCTGGAGCCCACGGTGGCTACCAAAAGACTACACAATGCAGCAGTTTCTGCAGGGATTTGTGACAGTTCCAGGCCCTTCACTAGCTCTTTCAAACTGAAGGAAGCCAATCACAGCGATGCCATAACCTCACACACAGAAATACCTACAAACTTTTAAAATAATCTGCTGGGGAATTCAGACCTCCATCAGCTTGAAAACAAGTTCCTCTTTGTAGGCTCCTCCTCAAGTCCCTTTCTTCCACCCCAACAAAAGCTTGCTTTCTAAGTACAATCTGAGACATAAGAAGCTTTTAATTCACTGGTGTTTCCAGAAGAACTCACCTCCCGTAGTTCATGTTCTGGAGCCAAGACTTTGGTGAGAAGCTTCAGGTCAACCTCTCCATCCTAAGAACACACAGTCACAGTCTTACAGACACAGAGAAAGCAGACACCATTTCACCAGAGAGGATGTTGCTAGAGGTACAGACATAACATTTTGCCCCATATATGGCACACACCTTCTTTAGGACAACAGCAGGTACCTCCTCATATGAACAACAGGCACTATACATACAATATTTGCAGATGCACACAAACCTGAAAAGCGCACTGCAGAGAGGAAAACACTTGCAGGCAGACTGGAAGGTGCTTGGATGACAGGGCAATGTATTTTATGCGGCTGAATATCACAGAGAAAAATGGAAAACTGGAAGGAGAGGGACTTACACCAGTCACTCCATACCAACATCCACCTACCAGAGTCTGAAAGGCAGCATACTTCATAAGATCTTTGTCCAAGTCATGGTAGGTCAATACTCGGTTCACCTGCACACTGCAAACAGAAAGGGGCAAAATACACCCCTGATAAGTGTGGAAGCACATCAGATGAGACGAAATGGCTTGAACAGAAGCGTGGGGACACCCACCTCAAGTATCTACACTGGGTGATGAGGATATTGAGATAGTTGTCCAAGAACAGAAGAACATCTCATTCAGCAAATTAAAAGGCACTGACAAATCTGAGAGCCAGACTGATCATATGTGTTAAAATAAGATATGGAGCAACCAAGGACTCCTTCAGAGAAGCTGGCATGCCAGAGGGAAGATTCATAAGCCACATGCAGGGGCCAGAAAGAAAACAGAAAGGCAATGAACATTCAAACAGCCCAGATACAGATACATCCAGCATGTAACAGCCAAAATGCCACTCCTATCTGGGAAGTAAAGCACACTCTAAGAGTCCCACAGTGCAAACTACAGAACAGTGAAGACTTTGTGATTTCCATTTCTCAGCTAAATTTTGGCTATCAAATACAATTTCTTAAAGTGCAGACTCCAAAAATGAGCAGGGGTAGGGAGCAATATACTGTTCTGCCATACTTTCTTTTGCATGTTACGTAGTACTATAGGGAAGATTTGTATTAATTTATCTTCTATGTATGCCCATGAAAATTATTTATCTTCTATTGCAGAGTGACTATTGATACAGGAAGAATAGATGGGATTATATAAAAGAGAGAAAACAAAAAAACAAACTCCGGTGAGAGACAAAATCTTTATTAATTTACTGCTATGACATATCATTTATTTTTATTAACAGCTATTTAGTTATGACACCTACACCATACTTGCAAGAGAGGCATCTGTGGTCATCCAAAGATGAACAGAAATCTTACTCTGTGATCTTCAGAATAGATCCAACAGGAGAGAAGACTTAAAAGTAACAAGAAAATTAACTCCAAAACTTTACTTTCTATTTTTAAAACATACTAGTCTCCCATGAGCTAATCCCAAGACTACTGTGATACACCTACAGACCATATTGTGCTTTGCAAATTAACTAAGCCCTTGAGTGAAAAGTATATCCTGTGGAGGGCAAAGCAGAGTGCAGTCAAAGTGTGTGTGATAATACATGTGTACTGGAGGCTTTTGTCACACAGGCAACCTTAAATCAAGCAACACCTCACTTTTCAGAGTTTGATTTTGCAACATCAAAAGCATTGCTCTAATGTAGTTTTTGTGTATACAGAGAGAAAATGCATTAATTGCTATCTATGCAATAGGAAACAAGTTTGCACTGTTCAGCCTGGAGCCCCACTGTCACAATGCAGAGCATCAAATCCTGCTAAACGGCACTGCCACTGACATCCACGGGACATGAGATAAGATGGAGTTTAGTTTCACCACACATTTCACACAGCCGATGTGAGCCTCAAGAGCACTCTTACCTGGGTGGGGCTGCCACCTGCATGGCCAGATCTTCCTCCTGGACTTCCTCTAAGTCAGGGATCACAGGAATATCTGCAATAAGAGAAAACAGCATCTGAAGATAACCTTTTAGCTGAAAGAATCTGGCCATCATCTGAAGACTGGTAAGAATTTGCTTCCTATGAGACACGTTGTCAATTGCTCAGCTCAGCTCAGCCACAGAATCTGCTAGAAATGAGGTGTTGAGCATAAAGAGGCAGAAGCCATGTGAATGAATTTGCATGCTGAAGGAGCTGCTGGCTGGGTTGCAGAGTGAGCAGAGGCTGTGACCTTCTGGGTGGCTGAAGGAGGAAGTGCTGGTGGTCCATCTGACACTAAGACTAGGGAGAATGCACCAAGCTGTAATGTCATAAATCTTTTTGTGTCTCCCACTGTGAACCTGGAATGGCTGATAGGTGTCACTGGATATTCCCAGCATGTTGATTATGCTTACTCCACCTAAAAAGGGTTTTTAGAGGGAAAAAAAAAAAGAAAGCAGAGGTGAGCAGGAAAAACTGGCTGCACACTGCATCCTGCTAGAAACCTGAGAGATGCTGTGCCCTCAGATGGCGGAGATGCCAGTGGTTGGCTCTGGGAAGAAGTTTCACAAGCACAAGGTGGGATCAGAGCTGGCCCTCTAGTGCTGGAGCAGGCAAGTTGCTCCTGCCTCTGCCAACAGCACAGCAGGCAGCTGGGCCTGAGTTTGCCCAGCTTTGCAGCCCAGGCTGAGATGAATATTCAGGAGCTGAAGAGACGTCCCCACCCGTGGCGGCCAAGGCTCCGGGCAGGGTCTTGCTGAAGAGCCCCTTGTCCGGCCGCCTGTCAGAGCTCTGCAGGCTCTCAGCTGCCCTCTCTGCCCAGCATCCCCTCAGCATCCCTGGGGCTCACCGGCTGCTGGGGCAAGAGCAGCCCTGGCCCAGCTGCGGGAGGGCACAGGTCAGCACGGGCCTCAGTGTGGTGGTCGTTCGGCGCTGGCCACACAGTGGGATTTCTCACTAATTGGCTGCCTGGCGGAGGGCTGAGTGGGACAGCGGCTGCAGCGAGAGCCAGGCCAAGGCACGCGGAGGTGACAGCTTGGATGCTCTCAGCAGAGCTGTGCCTTCGAGCTCCCCAGCTGCCTGAGGAACAGGTGCCTGAAAAGCAGCTCTCTGACTATGGCAAACTTCTCAAAGACATTTAAAGGAAAACTGCAGCAACAGGCCCCCAGGATGTCTCTTAGAGAGCAAGAAATGCCTCACCAGTGTGTTACCACGCCTTTGGGATATATCTGTCCCCCCTCTGCCTGTAGGGACAAGTGCAAGGAGAACCTGCTGTCCCGCTGGCTCTTCTTGCAAGGGCTCCCAGCTCAGGTAAAGCTTGTAATAAAATGAAATCACAGGGTAACAGCATCTCCGTGGACAGAGACTGACCTGTGGAGAGAACTGCTCAGTGACAATGTGGGAGAAAGTCCCTGTATATGACAAAGACCAAGGAGGGAACAGACTGCGGAGGCTGTACAATGGGAGGAACAAAGCACTGCACAGAGGTACCCTGCCAGGTTTTTGCTTCTGTTTATTTCTTTTTGCACTAGAGAAAATGATAAACTTAGTGCTCTGAGCTGCACCTTTCATTTGTGCAGGTTTCCAAAGAGTCCTGGATTTGCCAGTATTGATTTTATCTCATTGCCATTGAATTCCATGCAGAGATTCCCAAACTCCTTGCTGAGCGCTGCCTGTACTCTGTATTACCATCATGAAGGCAATCACATAGAAATTCCTTCAAAAAGAAATTAAAGGCTCCAATATTTTTATAGGCACTTTGAAAATATTTCAGACAGAACTTGTGGAAATGCTCTGGGGGCTCCTGCCAGACCCTCCAGCAAAGGGAACTGCATGAATGTTCCCATTGAAAAGTGCCTATGATTTTGTCCATTTCTAGGCACAGGCAATGCTCCTTAGGACTGTTAGACACTCTAAGGAAACAGAACAAAAGTATTGCAAGCTATTAAAAAAAAAAAAAAAAAGCTCCCCAGGCCAGTTGCTATCAATGGCAAATCAGGCCTGAAATATTTGGGTCCTTGCTTTACCCATAACTTCTCCTACACTCTGCCAATATCCATGGTGCCACCTCTCCACAATTCCTCTCCTTCCTCTCTTCTTACAGTTCACAAAGTGTCTCCTTTTTCACCTTCATCACCAAGTAGCCAACCTTCCACTTGTCCAGGCTCCTGCCCACTATTTGCTCTTCTTAGCATGTACATCTTTCTTTTTCCAACAGACTGTAATGACACAGTTAAGTCATGGCACTATGCCTACTGTGTGGAACAGAACCACACAGGCTGCAGTGCTGCTACAATACAGGCATATGCTTTACTTTTAATATTGCCATTAGCTGCAGTGAGATGACTCTGATATAACATTAATACATACAGAAATGTTCACAGGACCATGTTCTCCAAGTCTCATAGTGCTGCACTCATACAGAAATGGTTTTAGCCATTTCCAACCTTACAAACTCCTACTGCTATCTGTGCAGCCTCCTGCAAGTGATCTCCCCCAGACAGAACTCCTCCAAATTTCCATTTCATACAACAGATAAATACTGCCACAATGAACACTCCTAAAAGCAGCACTCAAGTTCCCCTAAGAGAGTATCTCAATTTCATTTTAGCTGAAGAGAGAGCAGAAGAGGTGGACACATGTGCCAGGTACTGCATCACCAGGAGAAGACATGGTATGCTCATGATGGAGGAGATAACATAAAGCTCAGTGCCTACAGTGACAGTAAAAAGGATTGGGTGAGACTTCCCTTTATTGCTCAAATGACTGGGAACAAAATAAAAACAAAGCATTTCTCATGGATTTTTCAGCCTATAAACAAGACACTAGTTTCAAAAACCGCTCATGATAGAGATATAAAATACTGAGTGAGCATCAAATGCTGGATTATACCACTGCAGATTCCTCTCCATCCCCCATATAATAGCAAGCAGGAGCAAACTGTCAAAGAATGAAATTTAAATGAGTGCATCCATACAGAGGTTAGGGTAGAGACACCAGTACAAGTGCTGGCTAACAGGGGAGTTGTAATATACCCCATCAAACTGAATGCCTCAGAACATCCAAGTCCAGAGCATAATTAAGAGCAGTATTTTTATTACAACAGCTAGACCAAATGAGGTTTTACACTATAAGAGTTCCATAGCTAAGTTATGACAAGACACTGCCAGCATAAGCAGAAGAGTGTGAGCAGTAGAACGAAGAAACAGAGGGGAAAGGCTACATCTGGGTAGCCAAATAATAAACAAGGAACATCGGTTTTTAAAGTGACACACAAAGCAGGGTTCTGTGCTCATGACAAAGAATGGCAGCGACCATCACCTCTTCTGCCCATTAGCAAAGAGGTTACTGATGACAAACACAGACAGCCACAAGCAGGAGATGGAGGCATGCCTACTAACTACTTCCCAGCTACACCTGCAAGTTGTCAAGTTGCACTTCCCCTCCTCGGAGCTTATTTTTGGTTTAGTAGCAACACCTGCAGGCTCTCATCACAGTGAGGTCCTAGCCTCACGGTACTCAATGCTTTGTTAGACACAGACAGAATTTGTTCAAGGTCAGGCAATAAATCAGAGCTGTACCTAGAAACCACGTCCCAAGTCCAGCCTACAGTTGTTCAGTAGGGTGGCTGCCACGTCTCACCGGGCTGCTTTAAGTCACCTAAGCCTCACACCCAAGATCCCAACACCCGAAAGAATGTCTCCATCTTGCTTCATCTGATTAACTTCCGCCAGCTGGGTGCGTATTTCCAGTGCCAGTTCAGAATGGGCACTTTTGCAGTGGGATAGAGCTGTCCTCTCTTCCCATCCATTGCCATATCCAGAGAACAAAAAGGGCAGTGGCTGCTGGAACTGGCAGTCCCCTGCCACTAAGCAGGCATAAGAATGAAACTAACTTTAGTTTAAGTTGCTTGCTCATAAAATGTAAAAATGAGATAATTACAATATCTCTGCTGCTGCAAAACTTTGTTTTACTGAATGCTGTTACCTTCTGCATCACGTTTGGGGAATTTTAAACAGGCGAATGGAAGAAGGTCTGATTGAAGATGAAGTTAAGTGAAAGAAATTGGTCTCATTTAGCACATGACAGGATTCATCTGTGTTCTCAAGTCCACTGAGGTAGCATCATGGGCGTTTCATATTCATGAGCTGCTGCGACACTGTGTCCCCTCATTTACAAAGCACCGTGTTCAGCAAATTCTGTCCCTGTAGACACACTGTGCATTTCATGGTCTTGTCAGAGAGACATCAAACACTTCAGTAACCAAATACCAGAAAATGGCTTTAATTAGCGCATCTCAATGCAATAAATAATTTTTCTCTCTAAGTGGAAAAATGGAGAATTAAAAAAAGAAAAGAAAAAAGTGAAAAGCAACAGGCAAAAAAAAATCTTCAAAAAACCATAAGGAATAAGGGACACATTCAGCCTCTGCTGAACACACAAACAAGCTTGAAGGCTTTTGGAAGCTTTCTCAGGAGAGCAGCAGGCAAATGGAGAGGATAAAGAATACTTCTTTGGATGTTGAGACATTAATTTCATAGGGATACCTTTCCCTTACTGAAATTGCCCTAGGAAAAGGCTGATACTGAACAGTGTACCTTTCAGCCAGCAGGGAGATGAAAACAGTAGGGTGAAAAGCAGGTGGTTACTACAGCTGCTGGGGCAGTCTTAAAAGCTGAGACAAGCAGAAGATAACCTGAGGTTCTCATGTTCTAAAACATCCCTCTGAAAAGTGTAATGGCATGACCTAGGCAGCTGAAGGGAAAAGTCACTCTTAGGTCTGAGAGGATTCATAGGACCTAGACGGGATGGGTCATGCAGCAGATTCAGCAATGACCCTCCAGCCTTGCTTTACAGATGCATCAAACAAAATCATTTTTTCTTCAGCCACCAAGCTCTGATGATACTGCTAGCCAGATGAAGGACTAGCTGGGAGGTTGGGTGGTTCACTGAGACACCCTACTTCCTCAGATAGCATCTTACACAACAGTTTGCTGGACACACATCAGCCATATT